CTGCGTCATTTGATTCGGTAATCCCCCCTTAGTATCATAACCATGTATTCCATCATCGAAATCACACATAAGATATACCTAATAAAAGGAAATCTCGAGTCATTTTTAACATGCATAATATTTAGGATGAGCTTTTCTGCACTGAAAGCTCGCAGCAATATCTCGTATTCGTGCCGGCAGATAGTAGAATGTCGAAAGACTATAAAAAAGTATTTGGAAACACAACGAAACCTTTCAGACTATTTTATATGGTACGGAAGGTTAACTTACTCCCTGAAACAAAACTACCAGTGTTGTGGTTCCCGAAGTACCACTGCGCAGAATCAATCTAGACAGTTCGACCGTCGTTGCCGACGGTGCCTAATGTGTGCTTCACACCTGGTAAGAGTAGTGATAGTGATTTGTATGAGTTACAGTGATGGTAGACCTGCGCTGCATCTACCACACTCCCCTCTTGACCTGAAGATTGGGGCAGGAGAAGGCGCAGGTGGCTGGCACGAATAAAAGTCGCACCTGGGACTATTACTACATTCCGTGGTCCACATCGTACACTGACCAGAATCTTATACCATAAGAACAAAGGAGGCCGGATTAAATCCCAATTGGTACAGCGTACGCCCGCAATTAGGCCTGCATTGGACTCCGATCTTGCCTCCTGTTGGTTCAGAGCATCAATCTCATGGGCCGTTTTAGGGACACAAAAGTCAATACTAACGTAAAATATAACAGAACAGCAGCTTTTCCTTAGCATTTTCACACCGATGTCACAAAATGGATTCGGATAAGCCTGCTGTCTTGTAGATTATTTTTTGCCCCCGTCGTCGCTTAAGCCAGGAGTATGTTTCCCCAGTGTGCTTTGGACCTAACTTAGGCCGACATTATGGAACAAATTGTTCCGTAGTTTACATGTGCCTATAGAGCCAGGATGCTGTGCAATTAGAACGCGAATTAAAATAGCAGTTTACTCTTCGATATACTTCTGGAGCAATTTACGATGGGCTTAGCCCGATGTTTTTTAGCTTTTATTCCCTTTAAATTGGGTGCACAGACGTAGTTTACTGCACTCAATGTTAGTTAAACAGTGCGTAGCACATGAAAGTTTTAAATGCTGAACAAAGTACAAGGTTGTGGATTACAAGAGAGTCCGTCAACAAAGTGTGACGAAGGCTTGCTCTGCGATTGACTAGAGTTAAACACCTGAACCGTTAGAATGATAGCAAGCTAACAGCTGATGCCAGGTTGCTTTGAATTCGACTACGCAATTTCTGGTTGTAGACGTTGAGTTTGTAGTTATCTACCAAATT